TGTTATACACTGCTAATGGTCGGCGCAGCTTGCGCTCGCTCTTCAACACACATCTGCTCTGCTTGTGCTATGCCAGCAACTACTGTACTATCGAATTAAAGAGCTGTAAATCTAATTTTTTTGACAAGCGTCATACTAATTTTAACCCAGATTAACGTTCGCTTGATAAGTGTAAATCGGAAATTTCGTGGCATGCGTGCAGCTTGCCACTTGGCGGCTGAGCTGTGGGCATTCATGCGCATGCGCGTGTCCCAAGTGGACCATAACAGTGAATTAAAGCAAATAACACGATGCGGAACAAGTAAACAATATTGTATGTAAGTGTATTGAAGTGCATATGCTTAAGTCAAAGGGCCCTATGATGTGCAGCAAAGAGCAAAGGTGCAGCTGGGGAGCACGACAAAATTTAAATCATAATGCATGGCATCAGTTGACAAACGAAAAAAAAACAAGGCAAACAAAACATGTCAATGCCTAATTTATGTATGTAAATGCATAAATGTATACAGTACGTATGCTAAGAAAACATTGGCGAGTTGAAAGGACCTCACCTCAACGCGTGTAAGAATCGCTTCAATGCTAGTGCGGTGAAAGGGTCGCCAATCAGCGCCACAGCAAATCACTTTCGTGTTCAGCTGCCGTTTAATCTTTTGAATTCATTTTTACGTGCATATGTACATATGTACATATATATATACAAAAGTACATACCTTATGTACATATGTAAAATTTCAAAATAAATATATCCATACAGGGGTGGAGATTTAAAAAATTTTATCAAAAAAATTAAAAGTAGAGACTGTCCTTACTTAAATTACAAGTTAATTACGGACCAAGTTATACACCAGCGTTTATACGAGTTTCATCCACGGGAAGCGTAGTTCCATGCGCAGAAGAGCACGCAAGTGATAAAAGATTTCGCTTGTCATTCACCAGGGAGAGGCCAGAAACGATTATTTTGCGCACGGTCCCAGCAAACCTAGTACCCTCTGGATCAGGGTTGCCACTGACGGAAAGAAATAATCATGCTAATGGTATCTGCTCGGTTTCCTTCAACCAAAAGCGAAAATTATGAAAGTGAGGGCAACAACGAAACTTAATCATTTGAAAAAACTACAACTGAAAAAAATATTTCTTTTTTAATTCAAAATATTTTTACAGTAATTTTTTTCATTTTTTTTTTTTTTGTAAAAGAATATTATTTGCGCTTTAATCAAAATCATAAAAATAAATTTGCGCCAAAATTTCGAACCACCACCACCATTTTGCCACCAAACTTCTTTTTTTTTTTTAATTTAACATTAATTTAATTTAATGCGTAATTACATGTCTGTTAATTTTTTACTTTTATTAAAAGAATCATTTAAAATATTTAGGCAATGAAAAGCTCCTGAGGATTCCAGTAAAATGATTTTTGCATAGGACATAATATGTTCGCCTTTTATCGATGAAGTGTGCATTAAAGCCTTCGAAAATGAATGCAACTAAGTAGACTATACTTTTAGAAAGAAATTTGTAATCAGCTTTATCATGAGTTTCATTTTCCCCAAACCGGGCACTTTTAATTTTTTGGCTTCCATGTACGTATTTACTATGGGCGAATAAAAAATTTTCGGGTGAATTTTTTTCGGGCGAAACTCAGGATAAGGCAGAATATAAAGATAACTACGAAAAATATAGCCAAAACACAAAATTTTAAAGTTCACACAAATTACTTTGACAAAAATTTACCAAAATGAAAACCAATTTACCTTTTTACCAACCTAAATTTTTTCTACCAATTTTGGTAATAATTTACCAGACTTTTCCGGAGCTCAAAGTAGTATCTAGCAACAAGTTCTAGTTTTGAAGATCCTTCTAGCTACGTGGCTGTCTCAAAAAAGGGAAACCAAGCATCCAACTTTCACTCGGATCTAGTGCTGTATAGCTCAGCACTGAACAGAATTATCTATCTGACCCGCAGCAGTGGGCCACACGCTCAGAATCATTTCCAATTAAATGTGAATAACTAACTCCGAACTGACTCTTCAGAACAAAACTCTACCTACCTCTGGACGCACATCATGGAACAAAACCTACCGGCTGGATAAAAAAAAATAGATTCCGTAAAGCGGTATCTGACTAAGAAACCACGAGCATTAACACGATTTTAAATATTGACGAACAAAGAGAAACCAAAGGATGACAGAAAATCGTTCCACAAGAGACCATATATCGCCTACTCTTCTTCTTGCTTAGAATAGTTCTCTCGAAAGCACCCAAAGCCTTCTCATATTTCTTTGCCATATAAAAGGACGGGCATGATGAGAGCTTTAAAAATCGCCTACGTCAATATGAGGAGCGAGGGCGGGACTGAAATCTATAGCTTTACAACCGCCTTCCCTGCGACAACTAACGAAAGGTTTCCAAAAATGTTCACATTCCTGTGACATAAAGCACGACGACCTGGTCTTATAACTCCAGATGTACTTTACCTAGGGAGAAAACTTTTGAGCCGTGCTGAATGGTAACAAAGCTGAAGTCAGTGAAGAAGATGAACCAGAGCCCCTCGTCAAGGCCGATGGACGCTGACTCTGACTAAGATACAGAACATAACCGCTAATTTCTGACAAATTCTGACATATTCTGGTTATACGAACATCTTTGGCCTACTTAAAATTGGGTGGTGAACGAGCGCAAAAAAAATTATCTTCTATTATCAAACTAGTAGTCAGCGGGTCCGCATCTAGAGACCTCATTACCATTGAGAGTTATAATATCGAAATTTTAGTGGGAACCAACAGAAGCCTGGACGATAAAAACATCTGATGAGGCGGCGTTTAGAGTGTTCGAAAGAAACATTCTGAGAAAGGTGCACGGAAACGATAAGCTACTTAATGACATATACCTTGTTTTTACCGACTCATAAAGCCCTTTGATTCAGTTCGCTGTGATTAAAAACGGATGCATAAACCAAATTTCAATACGCACAGAAATTCAAAAGTGTATTCACTCGATTTTGTTTTCAAATCGGTTTTTTATTTCTCATATCGGTTAGAACACAGGTATAATCACATCACTTATTTGAGGCGAAGTGAAAAAAGGCTGGTTTTCCTTATAAAGCGCGTTTTAAATTTTAATTATTATTACATATAACAAATTTAAATTATAGTTCGCTTCCATTTCGGTTAATCGCGCAAATCAATTATTAGAGAAATATCGAAGGAAAACAATAAATTTTTTATACTTTTGCATTCGGTTTCAGCCAGTGCGCTGTAAAGACATACATATGGGTTGAGTCAAATCGGTTTTTTTTTGTTAATGCGGATCTTGCGTAGCTATAAACAAGGTAATAGACTTAATGCAGCGAACTAAAATACAACGTTAAGAAGTTCTAGCCAAACGCTTATCGTACAAATTTAAAAATATACTGAGACTTACCCCGGAAGGAAATTTCCAACTTCGATGCGTGATATCGGTGCTCAACCCAAATGCGTGTCTTATCAGTCAATTTGTTAATTTTTATTATTCAGCGCGTTTCTTTTTTGAATGTTTGTGAATTTTTGGACCGAGATAACCTTAAAGGTATAGCATATATAACGGGTGATTTTTTAAGAGCTTGATAACTTTTTTTTAAAAAAAAAACGCATAAAATTTGCAAATCTCATCGGTTCTTTATTTGAAACGTTAGATTGGTCCATGACATTTACTTTTTGAAGATAATTTCATTTAAATGTTGACCGCGGCTGCGTCTTAGGTGGTCCATTCGGAAAGTCCAATTTTGGGCAACTTTTTCGAGCATTTCGGCCGGAATAGCCCGAATTTCTTCGGAAATGTTGTCTTCCAAAGCTGGAATAGTTGCTGGCTTATTTCTGTAGACTTTAGACTTGACGTAGCCCCACAAAAAATAGTCTAAAGGCGTCAAATCGCATGATCTTGGTGGCCAACTTACCGGTCCATTTCTTGAGATGAATTGTTCTCCGAAGTTTTCCCTCAAAATGGCCATAGAATCGCGAGCTGTGTGGCATGTAGCGCCATCTTGTTGAAACCACATGTCAACCAAGTTCAGTTCTTCCATTTTTGGCAACAAAAAGTTTGTTAGCATCGAACGATAGCGATCGCCATTCACCGTAACGTTGCGTCCAACAGCATCTTTGAAAAAATACGGTCCAATGATTCCACCAGCGTACAAACCACACCAAACAGTGCATTTTTCGGGATGCATGGGCAGTTCTTGAACGGCTTCTGGTTGCTCTTCACTCCAAATGCGGCAATTTTGCTTATTTACGAAGCCATTCAACCAGAAATGAGCCTCATCGCTGAACAAAATTTGTCGATAAAAAAGCGGATTTTCTGCCAACTTTTCTAGGGCCCATTCACTGAAAATTCGACGTTGTGGCAGATCGTTCGGCTTCAGTTCTTGCACGAGCTGTATTTTATACGGTTTTACACCAAGATCTTTGCGTAAAATCTTCCATGTGGTCGAATAACACAAACCCAATTGCTGCGAACGGCGACGAATCGACATTTCACGGTCTTCAGCAACACTCTCAGAAACAGACGCAATATTCTCTTCTGTACGCACTGTACGCATTCGTGTGGTTGGTTTAATGTCCAATAAAGTAAACTGAGTGCGAAACTTGGTCACAATCGCATTAATTGTTTGCTCACTTGGTCGATTATGTAGACCATAAATCGGACGTAAAGCGCGAAACACATTTCGAACCGAACACTGATTTTGGTAATAAAATTCAATGATTTGCAAGCGTTGCTCGTTAGTAAGTCTATTCATGATGAAATGTCAAAGCATACTGAGCATCTTTCTCTTTGACACCATGTCTGAAATCCCACGTGATCTGTCAAATACTAATGCATGAAAATCCTAACCTCAAAAAAATCACCCGTTA